AAATGAACCAATACAGATGAAAGGTGATGGAAACCATACATGGTACTCGAATACAACTTGTAATTCAAATTCGTTTCTAGGAGACCTGGTAGGATATAACTCAAACAATGCCCGTACTTTCAAGCTCTGCCCACAGTGCCTCGAAACCACCTTGAACGCTAAACGCTTCATTGCCCATAGCGCGTAGCGTTGAAGACGCAAGCCGGCTTGCATCGCCGTTGTAACAAATCAGCATGACGGTACAATGATTGTCCCGCGCCTTCTGCAGCCGTTTGGCCACATTCGGTTGGTCAATACTTTTCTGAATATGTGTCCAAATCATGTGAACAGATTCGGCATCTCCAAAGAGATCTCCATCAGCTAGAGTGGAGGTTAAGCCCTCCAAAGGCACCGAGTATGAGCCTGGAAGATGCTGCGTCTTAAATGCAGCTTCATTGCGGAAATCCAACACCAGCACTGATGGCGAGATGTCTTTAGAGTGGCCGGGACAACAATTTAGTCCCAGCCGAGGGTTCTTTGAAAACAATAATTGGAGAAGTTGCAATATCCAGGAGCGAACTGTTCTTGGCTTCTGAGTCGAAACCAACTCGCCCAAACCTACCGTATCTTTGCTGATGCCCGCTGCTGACTTTCCGCTTGTCTCCAGTTGCGTGGTACCGAATAAGACGGTTGCAGCTTTTTGGCTGTCTAATATCCATCTTTCGTCATGTCTAGTTTGGTCACATTTCAAAAGAATCTAAATGTGAGGTTGTGTTAGCGTTTGAGTTGGAACTCTTGGTGAGTTAGAATTACCTCATTTTCAATCCGGGGAAACTCGTCTGCCTCAAGTTTCTGAAAATAGCCAGGGAGGTACTGATACGGTAGATCACTGCATGTGAAAACGCACGAGACCTCTCCAGTCGTCTTGTCTCTAAACTGAGCCAGATCATCAGACTTCTTGAGGTTTGAGATATGTTCAAGGAGGCCGTGGAGAGCTTCTCCTGATGAAGGACCAGCGATAAGTCCCTCTCTCGACAGGCGCATGGACATGCGGTACGAGTCAACGGACGAAACTTCGACCCGGCTGTCAACTGTGCCTTGCCATGGAAACCCGGACGTATGAAAGCCATAGAAATGCCTGGGCCCGGGAGTCGGGTCTCCGAACTTGTTGAAAACGCTGTCAAATAATCAGAGGCTGAGTGACGATGCGAAGGAATGAGATTGACCTACCCAACGACTCGTACTGCCGGCTTGCGGGATTTCAAGTAGACACCTGTACCCGTGATTGCACCTGTGTGACGTTGGTTAGTTGAATAAAGAGGCAACGCAAGCTCGCAAGTCCTACCTCCAGTGCCTACCGTCGAGCAAAAGATGTTGATTTGGGGTAACTGCTTGTAGATTTGGGGCCCCGTCCATTCTTCGTGAGCTTTCCAGTTCTTATCACAAGTCAGCAATTCAGATCTGTTTCATACTGAGTAAAACTTACATTGGGATTGTCATATTGGCCAGGGTATACCATCTGCTCGTCCTGTGTCGATCTCTTCCGCAGTCTGCACATGATGCCCGTAGGATCTGTGGGTTCCTGTTGAGCGAGACCGCCATATAGGCACCTAAGGGAGGGAGAAATGTCAAAACATTCATATAGAGGAAAATACATAGAAGATTTGAGGAAATGCGCCTTACGGTCGGATGCCAAAAAACCGAAGCATGTTCAATGACTCTAGCGGCTTCTTATTCGTCACATAGGCATCGACATCTTCATTCCCCCAGAGAACTCGAGCAATAATACCAAGAGATAGCACTGTAGACCCTGAACTTGCTTCTACAATCTTCTTGCTGTGAGCATCGGGCTTGTTCTGCAACATCTTAAGGGCTGGAGTATATGTTAGTTGATGGCCACTGAGCGGCCTAGAGACTTGCACTTACCAGGCAGAGACTTGACATTCTGCGCCGGCAAGCAAGTAAGCATTTTAGCATAGATTCTGACGCCATCATCTCGGAAGGGGTTCAGGCGATCTGGGATTTCGATCAAGGGGAGGGGAGGATTTTTGTCGGGGTCGAAATAGTCAGCTACCGAATGAGGACCACTGAAGAGGTTGTTTTGAGCCGCCATTTCTACAAATAGAATAGATCTCAGCTTGTTGCAGTCTTGGCCCAGCAAAGAAGAAGAAACGGAATGGTTGCAATGTATGCTGGTCAGATTTGTCTCAACTCAGAAGATCTAAAGACGACGTTTGGCGAAGGATATTGGCCCAAAGCCGACTTCATGTATGCGTGCCATGTCCTAATCACGATTTTGAATTACATGGCTGTCAATATGGTATCATGTTTGTCTACTTGAATTGGCTGAATATGTCACCTGTGATCTGCATTCAAAATCCCTCTAGTGAAACAGTGCAGCACAGTGTCGGAAGCCAAGCAGCTCTTAAACGCTCAGGGAGTATTTTAGGGGCGAATCTTGCGTAATATATATTAACTTGCTCAACGATGTGACGTCTCTAGCTTCACGAGGTGATCAAGTGGATCCGACGCATGTGCAAGGTATTAAAGTAAAACTTGCTCATTCATAAATCCTTCAGCATCGGGGCGTGCCGAGCCCTAACTTAAGCCTTAAGCTTGATTCCCATGGGTAACCGAAGGCGGGGTGCGTGAATAACCGCCGGCTTGTGATGATGTACCGGCGGTTGAATAAGTGCAAGGAAAAACATCACTCGCGGGGCAATCCATCTCGTCTTACACGTCCTTCTATTACCTACTCCCACGTTTCTCACAGCGCCTGTCAGCTGAAGTGACTCGGATAGACACCATGACCGGCCTGGAGTGGAACCTCGTACTGAAGAACAGCGAGAAACAGGGTAATGAAATGCTTTAACCCTGGCTTAGACCTCAAACTAACATGAACATGTCTTAGTCATCCTGCAAGCCACAGCGACAACTGTCAGAACTGCTACCTCGGGAGCTGGACAGCGCCACTGGTGCTTGGATCTTGAGGCTGTTTCTGAACAGCTTCCTAGAGATAGTTCTTTCGTCATCGATTTGGACGAGACCAATATCGCTGCCAGTTTGCTGCGAAACCTGATCCACCAAGACTCCCGCCATGCCACCATCCTCAGGCTGGTTTTCTCCAGTGATTCTGGTACCGTGATCAGGCCAGATTTCATCACGTACAGGCTTCACGGCTACGATGATATCCAGCTTGCTGTGGGATTCCTCGACCCATTGTCACCAGTGGCAGCGACGAATCCAGACCAAGCAATCAACGTCAAGACAAAGGATGACTTTCTTTCCCTCCTTCAAAACGCTGTTGGCGGTGCCACTGCCCGGGCCAGTAAACCCGAAGACACTACCCTGAACCTTCGCGCCCGCCTAGACGAGGAATTTGCCAAACGCCTCTCAATCCCTTGGACTGTCCCTCAGCCCCTCACTCAGAAACGCGTATTCTGGGTCCAAGGCCGCGCGAATATCGAAGCTAGCCAGCAGTTTTACAAGGCCGCCCGCGCGCTTGGCATCACTCTTGTCGTCCTCGACGAACCGGGTCACTGGCTTGAAGACAACAGCGGCCCACATGCGCACTATCGTGAGGCATTCATTCCTATAGGCATTGCGGGCGACGAGGGCCTCACTCAACGTGTCGTGGAAGCCGTGCGGGCGTATCCACACCCCGTTCATGGTGTCGTGTGCATCAGTGATGTGAGGCTGCCGCTTGTTGCGCGGGCGTGCGAGATCTTGGGACTACCTACCTCTAGTTCTACGGCGTATGCCAACGCGGGGAATAAGGGTGCCTCAAGGGAGATTGAGTCTGCTGCGTCTGGACAGGAAGACGGCTTTGTATTACATGCAGTACAGGACCTTGAAACGGTACTGGCGGAGAGGGGGGGAAAGCTTACTTATCCTCTGATCGTCAAGCCTTGTACTGGCTGGAATAGTGACTGCGTCGTCAAAGTGCGTAACGAGGACGAGTTGCGAGCAGCTGTGCTTCGGGCGTCAGAGAGACATGCGTCGTCGGCAGCAAGGAGTACGAGCGTAGTGATTGAGCCGTACATTGACGGGCCCGAGGTGGATGCTAACTTCATCGTGCTGAACGGAGACGTGCTCTTCTGCGATGTTACAGACGACTTTCCTTGCTCCGCCGACCTGCCAGAGACAGAAGGTACTAAGGCTGCCAACTTCATGGAGACGCTCATGGACGTCCCATCAGCGCTGCCAGATGAGGAGAAGGTCATGATGCGGAACTCACTTGCTGGAAGCATCGCCCGGCTCGGGTTCCAGTCTGGTGTATTCCACTGCGAAGCCAGGGTTCGCGATTCGCGAGGGTACTATGCCATTGATCCCACCGATGACATTCTTGACTTGAAACTCCTAGAAACTGCCCCTTCGAAAGCTGCGTCTTGCTTCTTGCACGAAGTCAATGCGCGTCCGCCCGGTTACATCAACTGTGTCGCAGCTTTACTCGCTCACGGCGTCGACTACTACGCTGTGCGTCTCTTACTAAGCCTCGGTTCGGAGGAGGATGCGCGTGTGAAGGCTTTATCTCAGCCATTTCTCCATGGAAAACCACAATACATTTTGGGAATCTCGGTGTTGGCCCCTACGCGATCAGGCATCATGGGGTCGGAGGACGCTGTGCGAGACTTTCTCGAGGCGAACCAGGACCTCAAACGACATGTCGTGCACTTCCAAACGGTCAAGGAGAAAGGAGAATGGGTACATGGCCCAGACTCAAGCGAACTGTGGTGCGTGGGGTATGTAATCGTTGTGAGCAAGGAAGGTCGTAGGGAATGTCTGAAGCTAGATCGAGAGGTTAGGAAGCGGTTTGACTACATACTACAGGATGAATAGAATTCAAGAGCGGTTTTTCTAAGTCCCGTTGTCGAATGTAAAGTAAATCGATACTTGGATCAAGATAATCTGGAGTCATCGTAGCTATAAGATTGTGTAAGTCCCAAAGAATTAATACTAATATAAATGATAGTGATATCTGTTGTGTAAAGTATTAGAAGTTTATCGTATCCACTGAGAATTTACCACGCGAACGCTTCGTCCACCAGGACATACGGTCTGCTTCTTGTTTCCGTTCTCGCCAATGTTACAATCTTACTGCGCACCTCATCCGCCATGCCCGGAGGCCCGCATACGACAACAGCTAACGGACCACCAGAACCCGCGAGCATCTCTTTGGTCAGGATTGCCTCTAGCTTCAATCTCTCGCCAACAACAGTCTCGACCTTCACGCTACTTGGGAGGCTATCGATAGCAGGAGCGAGAGCCGTAACAAGACCTTGGTGCCGACTGGACCAGAATAGGGTTGTATTTCCCGCGACTGAGCTGTGACGAACAAACGGGAGACAAGCGGTAATTCCTACACCACCGGCAATGCAGATCATATCGGTGCAGTGGGAGAGTTGCGGAGAGATGTGCCCCGAATGGCTGTACGGGCCCTCGAGAAGGACACGGATACGGACGGACGAGGCCGCTTTGGCAGCGAGGGCGCGGGTGATGCCGCTGCGGGTGCGAGAGTAGAAAACCGTAGTGTTGGTGTTTCTTTGTGTGTTGCTGCCGTCCGAGTCCTGGAATGTTTCCACGACCTTTTCGGGGTCAGTTTCAATAGTTTCGGGCGTTGCGACGGACTTGTTCTCCTGATTCGAGCTAAGAACTGTCGGATGCTGTGTTCGAGGCTTCGTGGCGATGCCATCATCTCCGGCATAAGCCACAGAAAATGGATGGGTTTCCCAGAAGCGCCAGGTGAGAGTCGGGAAGCCGAGGTAAACTACACCACCCTTGAGGCGCTTGCCCTCCACCTCGATGCGGATGTACTCTCCGTCAACATCGTCGACCGTGGTGATGGTAGCCCATTTGAGGCCCTGGAAAAAGCTGCGAACAAGCCGGAAAAGGCGATCGGCGCCCCAGATGCCGCCAGCGACAAAGATCCAGATCTCGTAACCCCAGTTGTACTGGTAGACGTACCAAATATGATAGTAGTAGCCAATGATGAAGAGCAGGGAAAAGACAATGTGCGAAGCCAGAAAGATCTCGTAGAAGCGCTGGCGCACCCACAGCAGGGAGGACAGCAGAATAGCGCACACGGCAACGGTGCCGACAATGCCCCAGATCCAGTACAGGCGGATCAGCTCAGCCTCATAGGTACCCTTCAGAATGTAGTTGGCCAGCAGCATGAAGGAGTGAACGATGGTGTGAAAGATAGCCCAGTACGCCAACCAGCGATGCAAAAGCAGGTAGGTACTGTAGCTCCAGTCGGTAAGGTAAAGCAAGACGTTGTTGCGGGCTGCAAAGAGGAAAAGGGCAACAACGTTACCCATAGCCATAACGCCGGCACGGTTGCCAATGATACTAACGCTCTGCATCTTCAGCGAAGTGAAGCTGGCCTGGGGCTGATGAATGGTGTAAGGGGCGAGCCACAGGATGATGTTGAGGAAACTAATGAGAAAAATGTACAAGGCCTGGCCACGAGTGGGAATATTGCCAACGCCGGCAATGGGTTCGCGATGACGCCTGCCAAAGGTGACTGGGTGAATGAGCCAAGACTGCCAGTAAGTCCAGGCACGGCTCTTTGTGAAGCCTGGAATAAAGCGAAGGAGGGAGAGGGCAACTGGTAAGAAAATAGCGACGATGGTGATGACAATAGTCACAGTAGAGTGAGTCGCCTCGTTGACCTCGAAATCATGCAAGTAATTCCATTGTAGCTGCCAGTCGGAAGGGTCGACGAAACTGGTGGTGTTGAGCGGCTTGGAGCCTCCGGCCGCCTTGGGCAACGGGCTAGAGACATCGTAAACCTCCAAACCTCCGGAGTCGTCGTCTGAACCCATGTCTCCATGACGAGCATTTAGTCGGACGGCCGGCGCCCTTCGGTGACTGCTGTGCCCGTGGTCGCCAGAGCCAGAGGACGAGGAATTGGTGTTGTGGGCAGCCTTGGACTCGGCGTCCCGACCGGCGGTCAGGGCCTCTTGGTATGACATGACTGGGACATACTTGTAATTACCCAGAGTGCCAGTGCCCAGATGAGCTGCCCAATAGTCCTCCAGTTTGGCCATCGGTGGCTTGTCGCTTAGCGGGCAGTATGTGTCGATGCATAAGGCCATGGTAAGAAGGAAGGCGTGGTCTTTGACAAAGCAATCGGGTGGTGTCGAAACGGGATTGTGAGCAGTTCCATGGTTTGTGCTGGAACTACTTGGAGTACAAGCAAGAGTCTGCTTCCTGAGGACATTACGACAGGCAAAGGTGCAGGTCGGATCGTAAAGCGTCTTGCCCCATCCAATAAGGCCAGTACCATCAGCTTGAGCGCCAATGGTATACAAGGCTATGGCGAGGCCTGATGCGAGCAGACGGGATGCCGGCGCCATGTCTATACGGCTGAAATATCGCTTGTGCTGCAGGTGCTAGAAGAGATGCTGCAGTGTAAAAACATAAGCAAAGAGGTACAGACGAACCACTTTAAATGGGAGAAGGTAGCAGTATTATATGCCTACTCGGAGGCTGGCATGGTACGGATGAGACTGACATGGAGGTGTGTTAGGGACAAATAAAAGTATGGCGCGACCCTGGAATGGCTTGGCCAAAGCCACCTAGAGCAAGTTTTCTGGCGCGGCATGTGTGGCTCCTCGTACTGTACAGCCAACCAGGGGTCTTCAATTTGTGATCTATCTTCTCCCTACTTGTTGGAACAGTCCTTGTTTGCAAAATCTGGTCACTTGGCCGTGGTGCCTAGAGCCGGGCCTAATAATTAATCACTATCCGTCCAACCGACAGATGATCTCTGTGCATATGAGCAGCCTCCAAGCGTCCTCTGCGTCGATAAACCGTTGCATATTTGCTCGAAGTACCTCAACCTGCTCTTCCGTGTATCCAAACTTGGTGGCAGCTTGGCGATATTCAGAATTTTCATCGGCGAGGATGTCAAGCATAGAACCTGCGTACGCGAACCTTTCCTCGGGCGTGATGTTGGACAAAACGCTGGCCGACGCCGTGATCTGGTCCCTTCGGAACCCAGCAGCCAGAGCTTTCTGAATCAGGCGACGGCCAGTTTGCGTTTCTAGACCGTTCATTCTATAGATACGCTCTTGTAGCTCTGCGTTTTCGGGACATGGTGGCCAAAGCACCTGCGACTGGGTGTCACCGTCGCGACATGCGACAATACCGCCGTTTGGTTTGGCCAACAGCCGCATCTGCTTAAGTACTGGGGCGTTTTCAGGGATGCAGATGAGGGTGGTGTGCTCGTGGACGACGTCGAACTTGGCCTCCATCTCCTCCGGGGTGAGGAATGTCTCGGGCCTGAGCACGTCGCCCTGGCGGAAGTCCACACGGGTTCCGGGAGCGAGCTCTTCAACGCTGGCCCGGTTGCGCTCCGTCACCTCGGCGCTCTGGTCGACCCCGATGATGGTGGCCTGGGGAAAATGTCGAGCCAGGTCCAGGGTTATGCTGCCTGGACCGCAGCCGACATCCAGGAGGGAGAAGGTGGGTGGCAGCGACTTGAGCGTCGGGAGCAGGTACTGCAAGCAAGTCGAGACATTGCGCAGTTCGAACAACTTGATTGTTCCCTGCTTGAATCCGATATGGTACTTTGACTGTGAGCTGGACGCCATGGCTATGTCTATGCAATTCTTTATGAATTACATTTCTCCCGCCAATTCTGGCCTAATAAGTACCCGTGCCTTTATCCGTCTAACAAGAAAAGAGAAGGGGAAACATCTTTTGACCTGGACGCGACCCAAGCATAGGTTCCGCTCCCCTTTGGGACGTGGTTCTGCGTCTGGCCTTGTCGTGAGCATGTTTGAGAGCATTTCCCGTCTTGGTGTGCTTGGCTGCAGCTTGGCGTCAGCTTGGCACTTGCTTATTGAACAGTAGGGCTAGCACTGTGCTTGTATGTTACCCTAACCTATTCTTTTGATCAAAAGGCCAACTTGAACTGCCGAGTTGGGCCATGTAATAACTAATCAGCCGCCGACCGCCGTCGTCCACATGATGTCGGAGCTGGCTTCGGTCTATGGTGCAAGAGTGGCTTTTTGGGATTCATCAACATGGGCATTGTTGACAAAAAAAGTTCTTCGCCTGAGGCCCAGGCTGTCGATACTCTCCCTAGAGATGCAACAGACGACGAGATAGAGAATCTCCCACACATTGTTGACAAAATTCCATCCCCAGCGTGGGCAGCCGCTCTGATTGGAGCGTCTGAGAGGTTCAGCTATTACTGTTTCGTTTCCATTTGGCGTGAGTGCTGTCCGACCGCCACCCCCGTCAACCCCCACGTTTGCTTCCACCCACGGCTTGTTTTATGGGTTGGTCTCAACTGACTGATTATCTCAGAAAACTATCTTCAAAACGAACGAGACTCTCAATTTGTACCAGGAGCTCTCGGACTGGGGCAGGCAAAGGCAACAGCAATATCCAATGGATTTTTTATCTTTCTTTTCCTAACGCCCAGTTGCTTCGCCATTGTCTCTGACATATGGCTTGGCCGTTACAAGACCCTATTACTGGGGCTTTTGTATGTTGGAGTCTCTTGATGTCCCATTGCGCGGATAAGCTGACGAAATTTCAGCTTGTCGTTTTGCGGGTCACTCATCATGTTTGTTACAGCCCTGCCCTTTTCCCTTGACAGAGGTGCAGGTCTTCCAGGTTTAATTGTCGCTATGGTCCTAGTAGGACTGGGTGTTGGTGCAACAAAAGCAACCGTTTCCCCATTCATTGGTAAGAAACACCCATTCAAGGAAGGATATGAGGGGGGCTACTTGTCTAACAACTTCTCCCAGGCGATCAGTATGTCCAAAAGAGTCCTCAACTCGTTCGGCAAAAGAATGGGACTCTTGTTGTTGTCGACAGCACAAGAACGCTGCAATTTCTCTACAATGCCTTTTACTGGTGAGAACGTTGTTGAATCTTCCATCATGGCCCGCTCACCATCTTTTCTCAGGTTCACAAATATAGCTTCCCTCTCGTCCATTCCCGCCACAATCCTAGAAAAGGAGTATGACTTTTGGGCGGCCTATCTCATGGCAGCCACCTCACTTATGATTGCCGTGAGCCTTCTTTTGATATTTGGGCCACGCTTAGGTACGTGAGCTACACCGGAGATGGTAGACTTTGAACAACACTGACACGAAAGAATGAAGGCAAGATTCGGCCTGGGGAAAACTGTCTTCCACGAGCTATCAAGGTTATGACAGTGGCAGCAAAAAATGGGCTCAAGCTGGATCATGCGAAGCAATCATACCAGATGGAGAATCGTGGTATCTTGGTCTCATGGAGTGACAAGTTCGTGGACGAGTTAAGACGCGGTCTCTTGGCGTGTCGTGTCATGTTCGTTC